TTATAAATTCCTTCTGCACATTTCAATTTTTAGACAATTTCTAAGGGTAATCTAGTATTTCATTTGTCCGTAAAAAAGATTATCACAGTTTAATTTTATATCTTATCTTACTTATTATATAAATGTGAGGGATGGTTAGGTACCCTCATTAAAAATGTACTTTTTCCATCCATTTTATTTGTACTCTCTCCTTTACGAGTTGTACATCTCATTTTCCAGCTGTGATTGCCCTCACCACCGTTAATCTGTCCGTCAATTAGAATTAGAAATCTACACACAGCTTCGTTCTTTTGCATTTCGGTCTCTTGCTCAAAGAGTCAAAGGCCTGTCTTTGCCAGTTACACTCCTCGACTTCCATCATAATTCATCCCCTTCATCATTCTCGTCGCCATCATCCTTCTTCGTCATCGAACCCCATTTAGAAATTATGGGTACGAATAATAAACCCAATTTTGTTTTTATTTTGATTTCCTTATGACAATCTTCATTTTTTTGTTTTGTTTTTGTTTCCGGTCATTTATCGGTACTCTATTCTACCATCGAGAATCTTTATAATGATTTCTAGCCATACTTTTAATCTTGCTCTCAATATGTCTCTGTTTTTAGTTTTGTTACCATGCTCGCAAATCGAATACAATTGCATAAATCAAAGAGCTATTGGACTCTATGTTTTTGAACCACCTGAGTATTTGACTTGATTTTAACCTTTAGGATGGGTTTGAATTCGATCATGATAATGTATATGTGTGTATATATATATATATGTATGTGTATATATATATATGTATGTGTGTGTGTGTGTATATATATATATATATATATATATATATATATATTCGTAGTTATTATTTTTTGGTTGATGTGTACAAGTCTTTCTTTATTAGCTACAGAATGTTATCTATTACACATTTATTAAGTAATCTCAGTTTATAGGTTCATCCCAGAATTTGGGTTCCTTAGTTCTAGGCTTTTGATGTTAAACCTTGTGGTTTATTGTGAGCTTCTCTTTTGGGCATCTCATGCATCAAGGTATGCCTGTCTTTGGGGATTTCCAGTTTAATAAGTTATAATATATGTGCTTATTGATATAGCAACAACAACAAAGCCTTATCCCACTAGGTGGGGTCGCCTACATGGATCAAACGATGCTATTGCACCCTATCAAGTATTATATCTGTTGTGCATATAAGTGCTTATGGATACGAGTGAGTAACGTTTGTGTTCTTCCTTTTTAACATTTTTTTGTCTAGATTCTGGATTTTTGCACTGCAGACAGGCTTTGTTGATGAAGGTTTTTTTCTTTACTATTAAAGGAGTGGGTGAACAGCAGATGACCTCACAACAAATAGTCTTGTATATATCCTTAGCAAAATAGACTACATGATAGGAATGAGAGTATGAGACACTATACTATCAAGTAAGTTTTTCTACATACAGCTGTTAAAGTTATAATACTAAGTGACTTAAGATATGCTGCCCTAGGATGACTTCTGTTAGTGTCTTATTGCACTTTGCAGGTTCTTATTGACAACATTAAATATTTTGCTCATATATTATACACTCCTACCACAGGATTACTGTGCCAAAACTACTCAAGGTTGTTCAGGTGCCCACGTGGGATGTGTTTAGTGCCAAATACAAGGGAGAGATGAAGTCTATGATCTATAACTAGCCTTCTAAACATGTACTGAAACTTATTTATCTTTCAATACACTCTTAAAGTAAATTAAACAAATGCTTTTGAGGTTAAACTCATTCTAAATCTCCCCAAAACTTAACCAGATATACTGCTAGGCTTGGAAGATTGTTTTGCATGATGAAGTTAGTTTGTCAGAAATGAACATTTTGATTAGGACATATCTAAGGATTTTGGCATTTCACTTATTGGAGCATATCCAACTGATGTAATTATTGTTCCAGATTTTTTTAGGTAGACATAATTGTTCTCACGAATGAAAGTAGAATACTTGGCCTAGGAGATCTTGGAGTCAAGAGAATTGGCATACCCATTGGCAAACTGGATATGTATGTTGCAGCTGCTGCTACCACTCCACAAATAGTAAGTGCTCTCTTTTTTAGCTGCGTATTTGGCAGATGAAATTGATCCAGGAAATTAGACCTTTTCTACAACACCTCTTACTCACTCTGTTGCATCCCTTTTTTTTATATAGGCGTCTCTTAATTTAGAGTTATTCTCATTTTTCTTTTTTAGGCTAATATGCTTTTGTAGTTATAAAAGAGTTTTATTCTTTTAGGAAATCAGGGATAAATATATTTCTTAGGTATTATATTCTTAATTGTATCATATTCTGTTCACCTTCTTTTCAACTGATCACCATGAATAAAAAACACAAACTAGATATTAATATCCAATTTTTTTACTCTAAAAAGTAAAACAACTCACAAACAATTGAGTACCCTCCGTCATACTTCAAAAAAGACAAAGCAGTAAGTTTTCTTTATATTTTCCCTCATTGATTACCACCCATCTACTTAAAAACCAGAAGAGCACTGCCGAGAAAAGTACACTAAACAAACTAAATACAAAGAATTAGTTAACTTTGGCATTTTGGCCTAAACTACTGTAACTTTGAATTTTAATTTACACCCAGATACATCTTAACTCTTAAGAGGTTAAACTTCCCTTAGAGATTGGGAAATCTTTTGCATGTCAAAAAAAATTACAATGACGAATACTGCCAATCTTCTAAAACTTTAATTATTTTATAATGAAGGCATTGATTCCACATACTCCAAAAAGCACGCTACAAAAACATCACTCAAAAACACATAACCCTTGTGAGTCGTCCAATCGGTCTCCCGCTCATATTTTGTCTCTCGCTTTCGCTTACCCAATAAATTACTTCTGTCTGCCGATTTCATGCCGGAGAAGATGACAACTCGACCCCTTTGACCTCCTGGAGAGAAAATTGTTCCCAGAGAACAAGAGGATTCCGCAGAATCTCGGACCGTCTCCTCGGATCAGTCCTTATGTTTCTTCAGAGTCCAGCTCTTGGGTTTTCTTAGGGTTTCTAAGGCAGTATATATATAAGGCCAATGTGATTTAACACCAGAGAAGTTAGGCAGTATATATATTAACACGCGAATTCTTTGCACTTGTATTAGTTTTTTCGATCAATTTGTCTAACTTCTCTGCGGCACTTTGTGTATTAGGTTTTGTTTTTATTGTTTTTTTTTCAATTTGCATTAGGTTTTTTTTTAAAGTTTGTTTGAAAGGGAATTGCATCGTGTTGCAATGGAGGAAATTAAAATTTAAATAATAAATTCTCTTGTAGCCTTGATATTTGTCATGATGTAGGATTTCTCAGTGGTTTGATTAATTGATTCATTGTGGTATTTATTTTATTGTTATTCTCTGTTAATTCATATTTATTAATAAGATCTTCAAAAGAATTTTTTTTTGCATTTTGTGTTTAATAGGGAGTAGTCCAATTTCATGTATACTCTTTCTGTTGTTCTTCTCCATGTCAATTTGGTGTTAAATCACATTGGCCTTATATTCTTGTTTGCATGCATCATAGTCTTGAGTTTGATGCATTTTTTATTGGGGTGTACATTAATGCTTTTATTTTGTTTTTCTTGTTTACTTTATATTTGTTTTTGTATTATTGTGCATTATTCGAATCATGAAAATGCATTTCCATGAGAAGACAATGCATTCGAGATTCAAGCTAAAGGATAATACATTCTCTTATTGCACACAAACAAAATCAAATTGAATGTTTTTGATGGTGAAATTTTCCCGACACAGACTTGATGCATCTGTATTCTATGCGTAGTGAATTTTCTATAAAAAATGATGCATTTAAAATTTCCTGTGATACATTTGAATATGACTTGGAAACACAAATGATGAAAATTTTAAATAATTAAAATAGGTATAGGTCCGAGTGCAAGTAAGGAGAGTCTTTGAAAAATAAATTGTTGCATATTAGCTCAAATAATGGTAGATCGGTATGATGTATGGATGTGGGTTCAAATCCCACATAGCAAAATTATTTCTAAAACTTATATTACATTTGTTCTAAATAAAATGCATTTTCAAATTTTTTCATCACATACAAAGTTACTTCGATGTTATTCATCAATCCGGCCACAAATTAATAGAATAAAATTTAAATTAATTCTAAATGACAAATTACAATGAATATATAGACTATCAGTGTACATTCGATATCGCAATGGGTCTTAACATTTTAGAGGTAAACTTTGCATTTTGTAGAATACACACTGCATCAACACAAAAATATTAAGATATCATCAGATATCAACATTTTTATAAACATCCTCACCATCATCATACCTATGATGGTAATTATTTATTTTTTAAATATTTGTGCGTAACAAACTCTGCAGATATTTTGATCTGTACGTGCATATATGAAAGCCATATATTTCATGCATGCAGCAAATTAATATTATATTATACTCCTTCCGTCCCATGAAACCTTTCTCCTTTCTTTTTTTATCCGTCCCACAAAACACTTCTCATTTCTATTAAAAAGTCACTTTTACCCCTTGCATTTTCATATCTTAACTATCACATCATACCTTTTTACTAATAATCTATCCATCAAATCATACTTTTACCCATCACATCAAAGGATATTTTTGGAAATTTACTACCAAAATACTCCCCTTAAATCCTTCCTAAAAAGCAAAAGTCCCATGTTTCATTGGACGGAGGGAGTATATATGTATGTATATGTATGGAAGAAATGATTAATAGGTGACGATGCAGACATTCAAGTGGTTCTGGTATTGATTGTGGATTACTATAAAATCGTGTTAACATTTAGTTTTGGTATTGATTGTGGATTACTTTATTAGAAAATTATGTTTAAGTTGATGTTAGAATAACTATAAAATCAAACTAGGACAATAATTGACAAATAATTTGAGAACAACCAAAATAGCAGTGCACATAAGAGTGATTGTCTAAGAGAGAGGCATATCGTATATGCATAAACAAATCAAAATCTTAAATCTATACTTTGTTACATATAATATAACCAATTTAAACACTGCATTCGATGAACTTTGGTGTTTAAATTGCCATTTTGAATCTATGAAACTTGACCCAGAAACATTTAATAATAAAGGGCCATTCTCAACAGATGCACCAATGGGAATAATTACCCCCCATTGATTCTCGTGTTATTCTCTCATACTTTATTGGTGTCTGACATCGCTCGATGTGTCTCCTTATCCCGATACCATAATTCGTCACATTACGTTTCCACGTTACCATGGGGCGGCCTCTTTGGGGCCGCCCCATTGTTCCAGAATTTCAGGTGTAACTCTCTTCCCTCCAACATCTTCTCGATTTCCTCGATGTGGAGCCCCTTCGTCTCCGGCACACAAACGAGGACGAACAACAGCCCGAAAACCGAAATCACCCCGAAGGCAAGGAACGTCCACGATGTCCCGATGGCGCGAGTCAGCGACAGGAACGACTGCGCGACGATGAGGTTCGAAACCCAGCACGCCGTCGCGGCTATCCCCCCGCACACGCCTCTGAGCCTCAGGGGGTATATCTCGGAGTTGACGATCCACGGGACGGTCCCCATCCCGGGGGAGAAGAAGATGATGTACAACGCCATGCCGACCAGCGCCAGCCACCCGAAGCGGCTCGGGCATCCCCTCGTGTACCACAGCCTCCGCTCCCCGCGGCACGCGCCCTTCGCCACGTCACCCGCGGCCAAACACGCGCCGGGGAGCATCTTTCCCGCGGACGAAGCGCAGAACCCGCACGAGCCCCTCAGGCACTCGGCGCAGTCCCATTCCCGGTCCCCGGCGGGGTACGAATTAGGGCAAGCGAGGGACGACCCGTTGAAGCGCGAGGTGTCGGTAACGCTCACGGCGGGGGAGCGGGACGCGGCCTCGTGGAAGACGGCGGTGAGGAACCCGAGAGAGACCGCGACGCCGACGAGGCTAACGACGAGGAGCTTCTTCCTTCCGGTCCGGTCGATGAAGAGAATGCTTACGACGGAGCCGAGGGCGTTGAGGCCGGCGGTGACGAGGGAGAGGAGGAGGGCGGTGCGGTTGGAGGCGAAGCCGGCGAGCTGGACGATGGTGGGGCTGTAGTACATGACGGTGTTGATGCCGACGAACTGCTGGAAGACTTGGAGGCCGACGCCGGCGACGAGCCCCCTCCGCACCGCCGTGGATTGCAGGAGGGTCGTCACCACGTTCACCTTCTGATGATGATCATCATCTCCTGATGAGCTCTCGTTTTGGATTGATTCTTTGAGTTCTTGGATTTCCATTTCCAGTTCTTCTGTGGAGTATAGCTTCCTTAGTATGGCCTCGGCCTCGCTCTCTCGGCCCTTGCGGTAGAGCCACCGGGGCGACTCGGGGAGAAGCAGCATGAGTGTGAACTGAATCAGAGCTGGGAGACATGCCACTCCGAGCATCCATCTCCATGTTCCAGCTGCCTAACCAATTATATTATTATTATTATTATTATTATTATTATTATAATGTTACACTAATTATATATATAATAATAGGGAGTAATTACTAATAATCATAATTTATACTTCCTCCGTCTCAAAAAGATGTTCTCGTTTTGATTTTTAGGAAATATACTCGAGAAATAATTTTGTTTTGACTTTTCAAAATATAACCTTGGTGTGATGGTTAAAAGTCGAATCTGATGTGTAGATTATTAGTAAAAAAGTAAGGTGTGATATGTAGGTAAAGAATTAGCTAGTACGGGTAAAAGTGATTTTTTAATAGAAATGTGGAAGATTTTATGGGAAACAAAAAAAATAGAAAGGGGTAGGAAGTTTGGAGACGATGAAGTATTAAACTTTATTTAAATAACATTAAAACATAATGACTTTCTCTAAATAGCACAACATGCGTTTTTCTTTCCGATGTAGTACTTTTAGTCATTATACATTAGTCATTATTCAAACAAATATTTGTCATCACTGGACATTATGGACATTATTAAGTGCTATTTAGAGAATAAAACAATTTAAGTATTATTTAGGGAAATGACTTAAGTTTTAGTGCTATTTAGTGTAAATATTTCTTAAGCTTACAGCTAACTATATGTTTTTTATTTACTCTGTAAAATGTTAAATTTTATAAAAGTTGACCAAACATTTAAACCGCAAAGAGTTTTATCTTTAAGGAAAAGAACATCAGAAATCAAAGTTGACTTGATTAAAAGAGTCAAAGTGGGGAAAGTCCTCTATTTTTTTTACAATAAATGTTCATTTTTAATTCGGTCGTTCAAGATTATTGTTTTACTCCCTTCCTCACAAGTCACAACCAATTTGTCCTTGGTTGAGTTCTAGATAAATTTTGACCATAGAGTAAGAAATAAATACAATTAACTACTCCCTATAATGTAAATTCAGACTCCACTTAATATGCGGAATTCAAACTATGAAATTGAAATTGAAGATAATATTTTCAATTTTGTTATTTGGTAGCACAAAAATATGTAGATTTGGAATTGGTAGTGCGAAAAATGAACTGAAATTGGAGAATTCATTTTCATCCAAATCAATTCGATAGAATTTCAATCGCAACTCAATTCTAATTGAGTCAATTTCATGTACAAAATGAATCCATATGATCCGTTTGGTACATGGAATTGATGGAATACGAATTAAATTAGAAGTTGAAATTTTATGGAATTGATTTAGATAGAATTAAATTTTCCAAATCCAATTCATTTTTTTGCACTACCAATTCCAAATCCACCTATTTTTGTGCTACAAAACAGTAGAATTAGAATTGTTGTCCTCAATTCTAATTTCATAGTTTGAATTCCATGTACCAAACCGAGTCTTAATGAAATTGAGCTTGTTTTAAGATTAGTTTTGGTATATCAAATTTTTATATTTTTATAACATATATTATAAAACTGAAATTGTGCAAACAAGATATATTTTGCAAATGAACGAGAAATAATAGGAAACACACTTGTTGGAATAAATCGTGAGTCAAAAACACGATGAATATGAATTGAATAGTTTTAAATAGGAACGTGAACCCTTCCATCACAATTCAAGAACTTTTCTATGTGCATATTGATATGACTATTCCAATTTGTAACTTTCTTTTGTTCATTGTGACAAATAACATCTCTTAAAATATACTCCCTCCGTCCCAATTTGATTACAAATGGGGTTTACAAGGAGAAATATCTCACTTTTTGAAATCATTTTATTTATAAATTGGTATATCGATAAGAAATAAAAAAATACATATTAAAAAACTATTTCAAAAATTCTACAAAACACGAGATGACAAGAATATTTTATTTTATCAAATACTTAATCAAATCGCGTAAACAAATAAAAATTATCGAGAGGAGAGATAAAAAAGATTATAATCAAATTCAGAACGGAGGAAGTATTACGTATTAGCAAGAACATTAAAAAATGGAAATAGTGTCGTTTACCGAGCAATTTTGTAAGTTAGTCTATTGTATTTTATATATTTATATAAAGTTAAAAAATAAGACACAAATGAAGCACAATAAACTAATGCCTCTATTGAGACAACCTGGGTGAGATTCTCTATAAATCTTAGATAGTGGGTTTCTATCACTCACGCCAAGGGAGAAGCTCGATATAATAAGGACATTGTACAAAAAGAAGGTAGGATATAAACATTATTCTACTAGAATATCAGGATGATTATACTACAGTATCTTAGTAATTACTCTGATCCCTCCATTCCAAAAAGAGTTGGTTATTGTTGTTTACATAGTTTGCCTGAAGTCATTTTCAATTTAATTTTTCTGAAAACTGGTAAGAAATTATAAAATTAAATTTATAGAACTTATTAATGTCTTAGTGAGAGAAATAATTATTTACTTGAATAATGACTAATTCATAATTACCTAAAGTCCTAAATTGAAAAATAAATACATATGGTCCTATATTGGGAAAGTCATTATGTTTTAGTTCTATTTAAGTAAATTACTCATTGGTTATCAAATGAACCGGTATTATTTATATGCAATTATGCCTCTGAAATATTTGCACTAAATAGCACTAAGACTTAAGTCATTTCTCTAAATAGCACTTAGATTGTTTTCTTCTTTAAATAGCACTCTGTAATGTCCATAATGACCAGTGATGGCAAACATTCACTTGAATAATGACTTATGGATAATGACTAAAAGTACTACATTGAGAAAAAACATATGTAGTGCTATTTAGGGAAAATCATTATGTTTTAGTGCTATTTAGGTAAATTCCCCTTATGCCTCTCTCACTATTACACTATATTTCTCGCTCCTCCTAATATGGCCATTAAAAGTAATAAGGCACATGATACTAGAGGTATACCAAAAGTGTATCCGAAATATACATCACTCCCTCCATTACCATTCATATTTATTTATTTCACTTTTATTTTACATGCCAAAATGAGTGGTAATGGAGGGGTGATGTACATTTGGAGTACACTTTTGGTGTACTCCTAGCATTTTTGAAATAATAATCCTAGGTTTGCATAGCCTAGTTCGGGAGTGGGGAAAGCCATAAGGAAAAAGATCTGGAATCAAATTAAATAGGATAATTTACGCAAATAAAACTTAAATATACGGAGTATCATTTTTCTCCAAATAGGACTAGTCTTATCTATTCTAACGTTTGACAATAGAAAGTTCTAAAATGTCATGCTTTTGAGAAAAATGACCTATTACGCAATTCAAGTAGAATAAGATATTATTAAAAACAATTTGAATACTCATTAAAATAATCAGCCATTGTCTAACACTTGTTGCTGATGACCACATTCGTAGAGTCATTCGTATAATCAGTCATTATCCGACACTTCTTGCTAATAAGGACATATATGACAGATCATATGGAATTATGTGTCATAAAGAGAATAAAATATATTTTATTTTATTTAGAGAAACATACTATCTTTTAGTCCTATATGGAGCAAATTTTTCAATTGAATACTCCCTCCGTCTCAAATTGTTTACAATATTTCGAACGACGTGCGAAAGATTATATGTTTTAAAATCATTTTAATTTCAATTTGGTAGAGAAATAAAAAGTAACCGTTTAGAAGTACATAAAAAATTCTACAAAACAAGATACAATAAAAATATTTTATTTTATTAAATGGGCAACCAAAACAAGTAAACATATTAAACAAACGTTATCGAAAGACCAAAATAATACTCCCTCCGCCCCGTTTTAAATCGTCCGTTTTGACTTTTGGGCATATTTAAGGAAAATTAAAAATATAGTTGATTTTTCGAAATTGTCAATACTTTTTAGGAGGAAAGATGATGAATGAGAATATAATGTGGAGAAGATTGACTTATTTTAGAGGTACTTTAGGTATTTTATTTTTAAAAGTTTATGAAAACAACTAACATGCAACTTGTTTTGGGACGAAGAAAAAAAGACAAACAGACAATTTAAAATGGGACGGAGGTAGTAATAATAACTATGACATTCTTTTTTGGACAGAGGGGTATTTACAACAATGATAAAAGCCAATCATGCAAAACATAACGTTCACTCAACTTATCTATTTTCAAGAGATTTTAAAAGTAATACTCCCAATGAAAATTAAAGCAATAAAGCACTTATCATTTGCACACACTTGGTTTACTTTTTAGAAAACATTTTCACATGATTTGTTAATTGTTAGTGCATGCTTTAGCTAAAAAAAAGCCAGATGAGCGCTCATTGGATGAAAAATCGCCCTAATTATATCCCGAGTAATAATAAGTGACAATGGCAATTATTGGTCGGATGCATGATTAGATTCACTTTTTGTAATGTTCCTTTCACCTTTTTTGGGTCATTTACATGGACTAATTTATGGTCACGTCAAAAGGTTTATCCTCATTGAGAATGTTTTCAAACACCACGCCTTAACTTTACAACTTATGCATAAAATACGGTCCGGTTCCAGTGACACCGGAAAACAGTACCACTCCAGTGCCACTGGGTTTTTGGGGCACCTCCGGTGCTCCGTTCGTAAAATTGACGGTTCCTACCCCCCCTAACCCACCCCTTAAACCCCCCACCCCTGCACCCCCACCCCAACCCCGCCGTAACCCCCCCACAAAATGTGTGGCTATTATGCAATGCATAATATCCACACATTTTGTGGGGGGGTTACGGCGGGGTTGGGGTGGGGCGCATGGGTGGGGGTAGGGTGGGGGGTTTAGGGGGTAGGTTAGGGAGGATATGAACCGTCAATTTTACAAACGGAGCACCGGAGATGCCCCAAAAACCTAGTGGCACCGTTCTCCGGTGTCACTAGAACTGGGCCGCATAAAATATTCATATTTAATTTTTTGGTAGTAGACTTAAAACAGATTTTATATATGAAATAACATTTTCATAAATCATAAGCACGCTTCACTCATGACCTCTTTGTAAATTGTATGCCAACGCATAATTCAAATTTCAAGCATTTTACACGGTCATGTGTATGATATACTACTTTCGTCCTTGAATATTTGTCCAGTTTTAATTTTTTTCAGATAATTATTTTTAACTTTTAACCTATAATAATTAAATAAAATATAGAGAGTATATTATTGTATATTAATTAGATAAAGTAATATTTTAAAAAATTTTGATATAATAAATCTAATAGATTATTTTGTATCAATATCTAATACTTCCTCCATCCCAAAAAGATTTACACGTTTCAAAAAAATTGCGTTCCACAATCTCTTACTCATTTCTATTAAAAAACCACTTTTACCCTTTACTTTTTCAAACCCTACCTATCACATCATACATTTTTCTTAATAATCTACACATCACATCATACTTTTACCCATCACATCAAGGATATTTTTGGAAAGTCAACACAATTATTCTTCCCTTAATTTCTATTTTAGTCAAAACGTACCCATCTTTATGGGACGGAGGGAGTATCATTCTTAGGATTTTTAGGAGGGAGTATAAAAAGGGGATGTCATATTTTAGTATTTTAGTATAAATTCTACGGAGTATATTTTAATCTTATTAAAGTATATTAATTAAAATAAAATACCTTGGTAAAGGCAAGGTTAATGAGGTAGGACAAGAACTGGCCACCGGTGATGAAGAAACTATTGGTGCTCACAAGTGCTCCCCTGACTTTCGCCGGAGATACCTCCGATATGTATAACGGAGAAGTCATGGACGCCATTCCGACGCCCAGCCCCACAAAAACCCTACCGCCGATCAAAACGGTAGGGTTCGGCGCAGAAGCCATCATTGCGGCTCCTATGAAAAACAACAGGTCTGCTGAAAGTAAAGTCGTTCTTCTTCCGATTTTGTCGTTTAACCATCCGCCGATCGCCGCCCCTATTATTGCTCCGGCCACCGCGGTGCTCACTATAGCTTCCTGTAACATTGGAAGTTTAGCATTTCACATCTCCATATAACTATTGATCGAAAAAATGTCAAAACTGAACAAATACTCAGGGACGGTGGTAGTAGTAGGTATTATTTCTATCAAATTTTGATCATCAATTAATCGTCATCGGACCTCCGCTATGGTTGCCGGCTTTGACCACTGTTGACCGGTGGTCAACAAATCCACTATCATCACACTGGCACCATTCACACTCTCAAACTTTTATTTATCAGATAAAAGAATTTTCATTCATATTTTGATATTTTGATGACATTTTATTTTTAATAATATTTTATTCTTATCTTGGGACAATTAATTCTTTAAAATTATATGTGACTCTATTTGTTTTGACTTACACTTATCTACCTTTAAAAATAATATATATATTTATGTCACATTTTGTTTGTAGAACTTTTGATATAATTTTAAAATATATAATTTTTATTTTAAAATTTAAATGTATAATCAAATAATTTAAATTAAAAATAATTTCAATCAAATCTTTTAAATCAAATTAGAAGATTAATTTAGGATCAAAGAAGTATTCTATACACACTAAAATAAATCGGGCATCATAGCACGTTAGGGACAACATAATTGGCCGTAGCAGTTTAATGTAATCATAGCTCAAGAGGGACAAAATGTAGGGAATAAAAGTGCAAAAATACAAGAATTCAAGTTTGAAAAATTCTTTGGCACCTTGGGTATTTTCTGAGGGTATCATACCGTACCTTTGTCAACTTGGATCAATTATCATACCATAATGATTGAAATTATTTTCCATCCAAAATTTGGGAGAGAAGTAATAAATATGTCTTGATTCTCATTATACTCCTTTCGTCCCACTTTAGATTACAATATTCCCTTTTTGTTGAAATTAGAAAAGAATCAAATCAAATTTTTTTCTCCCAAATTAACCCAAATCCCCCATCCTTCCCACTCACATGAATGAATAGTGTAGGAGTTGGAGGGTAAAAGAGTCAATTCCTTGTAAAGTTATTGACTTTGTAATTCTTTTTGTGACAAAAATGTGAGGGAATATTGTAATCTATTTCGGGACGGAGGGAGTATTAGAAATCAATATCATGATATGACCTGAGACCCTTTCGATACTATATTTGAAAGATTAGTAATTCCCACCTTTCCTAATCTCTCGATAAACTCTCTCCCCTGACTCGGCTCGAACCTACTTTCCACTATTGTCAATTGCACCCCACAAAATTTAATTAACTTTGAAGTTAAAACGTAACTCTAAAGTCAACTAAATTTTGTGAACTGTAATTGAAAAGGACGGGGCAGGGTGAGTTCGAGTCGGGATATGGTGGAGGATTTACTAGAAGGAGGGGGTAAAGAGGATAAGAACCATAAATTTTTCAAACGAAACATGTAGTAGGAATCCTAAACGATGTCCATGCCATAAGATGACATGGGGGCTAACCCGGTATAAAAACCATTTTTGGGTTCAGAAATTGGGGGACTCTTGGACAATACTCCCCTACGAAACTAAAGATTTTAGGGACTATTAGAGGCGCTCTAGTAAATTTTAGAATTTTTTTATTTACTAAGATAAAACACAAAATTTATACTCTAGCATGAATAAGGGCATCCCAATGAGTATATTCCTTTTGTACGGGTGCTTATTGGCTTATTACTGATAAATAGTTTTTAACTTATAAGTTGTTTATAAGTCAAATACTCTTTCGTGAAAATATAATGACTTAAATGATAGATAAGTCATTTGTAAATATTTATAAATGGTGAGAAACATTTTTGTAAATAATCTAATCAAAATGGAGAAATGAAGAAACTGACTTAAAAATAAGTAGCTAAGACATACTTATTTTTTTGGCTTATACGTAGCTTATAAGTCAGCTTAGACATACACAGAAACATGTCATCAGCTGACTTATAAGTTAAAAACTGTTTATAAGCAGTTTTGAACCGCTTATAAGCACTTCAAAACACCCACTAAGTTTCAAATCACATATGGTGTGATCTCTCCCAACACACTAGATTCAAACTCAGAACAATCTCTCGGTCTCAAAAATATTTTCAGACTTCAACAATGTGCAAAATTTTATTTGTTTTATATTTATTCTGTTTACAAATTGGTATATAAATAAAAATTACTCCGTATTAAATACATATTTTAAAACTACATCAAAGATTTTATAAAATAAAATGTGACAAAAATATTTTATTTAATAAATAATCAATGAAAAGACACAAATAAACAAAAATTATTGAGATTCGACAGAAGAAATTGAAATCTGGAATAGTAACTGAGACATTATTTTTGAAACGAATGGAGTATTTCTTTTTTCACTGTTTGTTATAATTCTCGAATAAAAAAAGAGTAAATGCAGTAAGTTACAAAAAAAAAGAAAAGAAATAAATGGGGGCATTTTTTGGTTTTGAGGAGGAGAGAATGGAGGAAAAACGCAAATTACGTTTGAAACTGACAAATGGTTGGAGGAAGAAAAACTGCAAAAAATAAGTTTGCCTTTAAGTTTGAGTGTGACATAAATTCCCCACTTTTCTTATTTTAGTTGTCTCAAAATAAAGTTTACACCGCCTTTAAAAAAACTAGTCCGATCTATTGCCTAAAACAAGTAGTCCACAATAAATCTTTTTCCTCCGCGTAAATCTCAACTAAATAATTTTTTTAACGGTTATTAATTACTCCGTATTATAGACTCCATGACGAAACAAGTGAAACTTTAATTTAGAACAGAGAGAGCAACAAATTGAAGCATACCTGCAAGACAGTGCGTCTATCAACAGACTTGAAATCGTCTCTGATATAAAGAAGAGCTCCAGATATCACTCCTGTTACCATTCAAAATACAAAAAAAGGTTCCACAAGTTTATTAAATCCTCCTTATTAACAATAACTTCAACGTTTAGATATAATATCTTTGCCAAAATTATCTCACAATAATATTAATTTTTTTAAAAAAAATGTTTTTCAAAACTACTCCGTAATATATATCTATCATTAAGAAACGCAAACAAAAAACGTTGCGGATTACATGTCTTGTTTGAAAATTACATCTTGAATCGGAGTTAGATAGCACTATATATTGATGTATATTAATTTTGAAAATATTTATAACGTTTTTAAATAAAAACTCCTACGCTAAACGTTGAAGTAGTTCCCAGACACACCCGAATTAAGGGTGTGTTTGTTTTGTGTGAATAGAGAGGGAGGGAGAGAGAGAGAGATGGACCGGTATCGTAGCCAAAGAGAAAGCCACCAATTCCAGCAGAGAAAGCAAGGCGAAGAATGTATGGGTTTTTCCATGACAGAGCCAAACACTCCCTAAAAGCTGTTGCATCTGTGCCTGGATGCACCCCTCCTTCCATATCTATATTATTAAATCTCTTATTACTAATTAATAATAATAATTTCTTATTAGGTGTGTATATTTATGATAATTATTTGGAATTAATTGATTATTTGAAAGAAATAAGGAAAGATGGAGATGAAAGAAGAGTATATATTTGGATGCATATTTATAGAGTGGAGGGGGAGATGATCGAGCAGTGTGAGAATTACACGTGGCGAACAAAGGGAATATAGTAAACAACTCTGTGTGGAGTGGAGTGGCGGCGTCCGGCGACCCCACAAGTCTTGACGATAAGCGTTCCGGTGGCCGACTATGGTGGGATCAACCCCCCTCCGATGATGATAAGAGAATGTGTTAGAAAAGTTGGGAGGATGTGTTAGAGTTCGTTCTTCTCTCATTCCCTTTGATCTCTCTTTGAAAATCTAGGAGGAGGATGAACGTTGCGAAGCAGTGTTGAATTTGACGTTTATCCGTAGTACGTGCGAATCTTTAAGGTTTCGCACTCGGTTTACAAAAATCTCAAGGACTTTCATAAAGCACTAACGTCTAAAAGAAAAATCAATCCCGACCAGATTTTAGTGCCATCAACTATTTTTTTGTGATTGGGTTTACTTAGATCAGACAAGAATTTAAATAAATGTTGTCAAACGAGTTAGGACGCACAGAGTGCACACTCATCCAACAATATTACAAATTAATAGCGGAGATTTGGAGGCAGCACCCTTGAGCAGGGTTCAAGGGGCGGTAGCCACTGCGGGGTCCAAGGGGCAGAGCCCCTTTGAACAAAGTGTTGTGTTAAAAATTTAACTTGAATTTTTTATTTTCGGAACTTGTGCATAACAAGAATTTACGTAAATTGTTTCTCTCCTAAATCTTGCGCGACAAGTCGCGTATCTTAGGAAAGAGGCGCGACCGCATCTTTTTTCCCCTCCCACGGCTATATGTATCGGGAAAAGTCTGGTAGAAAAAAGACAAAGAGTTCGAAAAAAATTCATCATAACGCATATTTGTTCTTGTCCAACAAAGTTTAAATTTTATCCGATTAATTTTGGAGTAAACATTCAAATAATTCATTTGAAAGTATTAGTGCAACTCTCAAATAAATTTATGTCATATACGAATTTTCCCAAAACCTACCACCGACTACTACAGTCACGTCAATCATTCAATTTCATTCTAGGTTTTGAAATTCATAGTATATTAAAACTCACCAAATGTGTCCTAAACTAATTTATAGTACAAAGTTATAATCCATGTATCCGAAAGTGAAACGGGCTGGGCCAACAAAAATATCCGGCTTTCTCAACACTCATGGACCCAACCATCAGCCCATATTCTTCTTTCTCAACCATTTTGTTCCGCTATTGCAGCTCTAACCCGAACTTCATGGCTTTTCTCGTTTATTTCTCTATCGTTTGTTTTGGGTTAGTATTACTATTACGTACTTCTTCCGTTCCAAAAAAAATTCATTTCTTTTTTGTCTCATAAAATTCTTCTCTTTTTTTTACTCTATTTTTCCCTAATTTGATTACAAACTGGGAGATGTGAGACGAAATTTCTCATCTTTTGAAATCATTTTTATCTACAAATTGGTATATCAATAAGAAATAAAAATTACATATTAAAAAACTATGTCAAAAATTCTATAAAACAAGAGGTGACAATAATATTTTATTTTATCAAATACTCAATAAAAATACACTAATAAAGAGATTTATTGAGATGAGAAAGAAAAAAAATTGCAATCTAATTCGGGACGGAGGGATTATTAAAAAACTTCTATTGCCCCTACTACTTTTTAACTTACCTATCACATCATATCTTTTATAGAGTAACTAATAATCTAACAATCGCATTCTACTTTTATCCATCACATCAAGGGTATTTTTGGAAAGTCAACACAATAATATTTATCCATTAAATTTCCTAAAAGTTAAAATGAGAACATCTTTATAAGACGGAGAAAATATGATATTCTATAGTTGACTAAGGTGATTTTGTATGTTTCGTCTAAAACTAATTCATATGCGTCATGTTTGTGAATTAGATATAAGAAATCTCTCTCGATATGAGTAAAAAGTATGAAAATATAAAAATAAGAGTCCTAAGTCTTTTAAGACCAAAATATGAGTGTAAAGACAGTGTGGTGTAAGAGTACAATGTACATGTTGATAATACGATAGAAAAATGATGACTGTGTAATATATTAGTGTGATCAACCAACCGTTGATGATGGAGGTAGAAAATAATTTTAAAAATTTAAATGAAAAATTTAAAAAAATTAAAAAAAAAATCAAAATTGATCAAAAATAATCCCAACTTTCATTTTGTTGCCTAAAACGGGCATTTCCGTTAACCCTCCGTTAGAAACTTAACGGCGACCCAAAACTGGCAAATTTCAATTATTGTGCATCACAGCGAAAGGTGGGATTATTTTTGAAAGACCCGGTAAAGTTGGGATTATTTTGAGTAATTTTTCCATCCATATATAGTTACCCAACTTCTTTAGTATGATGAGGCATATTAAGTTATGAGTGGTTGACACATAGCGGAGAATATCATTCTAATGTAGAATATAATTGAGTGAGAGCATAAGTGTGACAACTTGACCGAAGATCTACATGTGGTGTCTTGTCTCGAAAGTCTACCGTTAGCGGGTTTATTATTATTACTTTCCCTATCCACTTTGATATTTTTATTTGTGCCTTGGGGTTCACGTACCTGATATTGAAATTTCATGTCACAGGCTGATATGAGCCCTAATTGAAGACTTTACGCTGTCCTGTTTGAAAAATTGAAGGTTCATGTTCTTCTAACCTTCTCGATAAACCTCCTCTTCACCTTGGCCTGACCTATACTAACCCACGCCTCCTTCAGTTGCACCCCTTGATTTTAGATTGACTCTAATAAAGACAAGTAAAATTTTTGGGTGCAATAGAAAGAGGTATGTTGAGGGTCAGGATAGGGTAGAAATGTTGATGAGTGTAAGGAACCGTCAATTATTCTCGCGGGACACTGTAGGACCCTCAATTGGGGCCTATGTCACAGAAAGACATTTAGGTTCAATATCCGTTGATATATATACTTTTTGTAAAGCATATAAAAAATATAAAATCTTACTCACTTTTATATTTATTGGATACACAGTAAACATATTTAATTTAAAGACTCCCTCTGCCCCTAAATTTTTGTCCTATTCTGACCTTTATGAGTACGAAATTTAAGGTACAGATAATTTTGTCTTGACTTTCAAAACAATAGCCTTGATCTGATAAATAAAAATAGGAGACGATAAACAAGTTATTACTCAACAAATAGAATGTGATATATGTAAAGTAAGAACTAGTAGTAGTAAAGTCGTTTTTTATTTAGAATTATTTGCACTAAATAGCACTAAAACTTAAGTCATTCCCTAAATAGCACTTAAATTATTTTATTCCCTAAATAGCACTTAATATTGTCCATAATGTCCTGTGATGGCAAATATTTGTTTGAATAATGACTAATGCATAATGACTAAAAGTGCTACATTGGGAAGAAAAACACATTTGATGCTATTTGGAGAAAGTCGTTATATTTTAGTGCTATTTAAGTAAATTTCTCTTTTATTTAATAGAAATGAGAAAAGTATTTGAGGACAAAGAAAAATAGAAAGGAGAGAAAGACTTTTACGAACAGAGAGAGTATAAGTTCATATTTAATTTGTAAATAAATCATTTTATTTATCAATTTGTAATTCAAGTTTAATAAAATCATTTTAAATTTGTTTGTAATTTATATATTCTATTTCTATAGCGATTTGTAAATAAAATTATTTTAAAAAAGATAATATTTTTCACATGGTTCAATAAAATTCGATTTGTTCTGGCTTTAATTCAGTTTAATTTTTCCCAATTTCGTTTCGGTTTTGGTTTGAGTCTATTTCGGTTCAGGTTTATCTCGGTTTGGGTCTATATCAATTTTGGTTTATACCGGTTTAGAGTTTTACCGGTTTCAGATGAGATCACTTGGTATTAGCTAGAATTCCAAATGTTACTCTTGTGTGTTGCCTCCCCTCCGTATGTTTATAAGAGGTATATATATACACATGTCAGCAATAATGAGTTAGTATATCCATTAATGTGTGTTACGATGTTACTATAAATTACTCCGTATATATACTCGGTATAAAAATAGACAACAACCTTAGTTTAAGTGACAAACTACGAAATTAAAGATTTATATATGAAATTAGTTGTACCTATAATTTAAATATATATTTCCGAAAAATACATCAACAAATGAGCTATTAGGTTTGACTGGATTTGAGTTTAATTTGTTTTGAATTTGATCAATATTGGGTCTAATCAGTTCTGGATTTAATCGGTTTCGGGTCTAATCGATTCAGATGTAATTGGTTCAGGTTCAATTAGATTCGGATCTGAATCGAGTTTGAATACATCTGTTCGGTCCGGATCATTTTGGGTGTTCGGATTTAATTTAGGTCTTCAATTCTCAGATTATTTCGAAGCCGATACCATGCTATTAGATTCAAGTTATCGGGTTCGGGTCTGTTTTGTCATATCTAGAAATAAATATATGATGCCTTTATCTTGAGAAGACATTTTCTGTCACAATCTACGAAAGTGTCTCACTGATTTTTATTCTGGTTTTTAGTTTCATTAATTAATCACTCATAATAAAAAAACACTATTCCCTATTTATAACATCAAAATACGAGAGAGCAACGATCGCGTGAGCATGACTGTACGAAAAAATTGCAGACATCACCCCCAAGATCAAGCGATTTGCATAAAATCCCATATTTACTGCGGGGTGAAAAGTCGAAAGAGATTAGAGGTGCGGGGTAGAAAGTAGAAAGAAAATAATAAGACCGACCAGCCGACAGACGGCAGCGGCTGGGAAGCCGTCGTTGACCGTCAGTGACTCAGCTTTTGCTTCCGTCATTTTTAGCGTCTTTTTCTTTTTCCTTCTTCTTTACTGACTTATTTACTGTACTGTGTTTGTTTCTCGATTTGCTTTACTTCCGTCAGGGGCAACGACGGAAACAGCAACAAACGGCGTAAAATATGCCGGGCGTGATATGTATTCAGACGAGAAAAATGTCCGCTTTACCCCGGCCAATTCCCACCTTTATTCAGTTCTAATTAAGATGTGTGTTTAATTGTGTGAGATTTGCATGTGAGGGGCCTAAATATATTATAGAGTTGGGGGTTAAAGGTATTTTTTGGTGAGTTATTGAGTAGGTAGAATATGTTTTGAATTTTGAGACGTGATGTTACTTCTGAAATCTGAAATGAAATTATTAAGAGAACTTGAAATTGTGATTTATTAGTGATAAGTGGGAGCGGCCACTAATAAAGACGGTTAGTGCTGATAATAGACTAGAATTAGTATTATATATTAGTAGAGTAGATGAAACGGGACAAACGAAACGGATCGGTATAAATTTAAGTTGTCCCACTC